TTCGCTCAAAAGATGGTGTTAATCAAATGAATGCGACAGGCAGGACAGCAGACTTGGCCAGTGCAACCAACTACTAAGTGTGACTTGTATCCATCTTTTGTTATCCATATATATTGAGTACTACAATTCTAATAGTTTTTTCCTTTCTTAAAATGTGTATATAATTTTTGGTACCCTCTGTATATACCATAAATGAAGTGAAATCCCTAGTCAAAATGAGGGCAATTCATATGACTATTTTCTGCAGCAAAACCAATGAATATTCACACTCCAAGGGATAAAAAAGATAAATGGCTTCACATCAGTTCCCATCAGCCTCTTCTGGCCAAATGAGTCTTTCCCCAATTTAAGAAGAAAAAAAGACTTTCCATTTTCAGAGATATTTTGGATTTAGGAATTGGGATAAAGGATTGTGGATTTATGCCACCTGCATCCCGTATTTCTAGGAATTATTCAGAAATGAGCCTGGTACCATTTGTGAAATTGCTTGATAGGAACTAGAGAAGATCTGTAAAACCAAATAAACAATGTCCTGTGATAACAATTAGCATAACAGTCATCTCACAGTTATATATGGCTAAACCTCAAAATATATAGGCTTATGCTTTGGAGGGGAAAAGTGAGAATCCATATTTCTATATCCTGACTTGCTTTGCTGCCCAGGCTGGAGTCCAGTGGTTATTCACAGCTGCTACTATAGCACACTATAGCTTCAAACTCCTGGGTTCAAGCAACCCACCTCAGGCTCTGTACCTGGGACTATAGGGGTGAGCTTCTGAGTTGAAGTTCTTAAAAAATAGAAAAAATCCATTTCAGAATCACCTCCATGACTCTGGCTAACAATTTAAGCAAAGCCTTGTTACTAGTTTCCCTAAGATCCCCAAGGCCTCTTGTAACTCCTTGCTATTTGAATTTCATCTTCCGTAATAAGTAAATGAGTATAAATCTTGTGAATCCTGCTCTAAAAGTTATTCTGATGAGTTCTCAAGTCAGCAAAGAAAACACAGGTTTGCCAGGTAACGTAAAGCCTTTGCACTTTCAGCAGAGTTTCTCTCCCTCCTTCTTTCTTTCTTTCAACGTATCAGTCCGTGCTAGCAAAAGGCACAACTCCATAATGAGGTAAATGTGTTTACTTAGACCCAGGGCATCAGCTGAGGATCTATTGTCAATGAACTGCCAGAACCTTCTATCCCACGCCCTAATTTAATTTATAGGACTCAGAATGTCTTTGGCTTGGAGATCCACTTTGTGCTCTCTTCTGCCTGTCCCACCAAGAAAAACTTACTTAATCCAACATCACCCTCTTCTTGGTCATTAGGAGCTTGACAATGACACAGGCAGCGGACCAGGAGGCCCACGTGGTTCAGCAGGATAAAAGGCGGGGGCAGCCAGGGCTTCTCGTGGTAGGTCATGATGTAACGATAGCGATTGTATTTCCATAGTTTGTTTGAGATGGATTTCATATCTAAGTAAACGTTGCTGTAAGTTGCAGTAAAAGACAATGTTTTAGTATGAAATCCTAAAACATAACAGACTATTTTCCACCGTTTCTGACTGGTTCACCTGACATTACCAGCAGTTAGCCAATAAAAATAATACCCACCGCGTTCCTGATTCTTCTTCCTCCACCAAATGAAACATATTAATCACCTTCCACCATAAAATACGCTCAACAGAAAAACAAGCAAAAGACAGAAACTACAATCAGAGAGAAGAAAATGCAAACAGCTAAAATATAATGAACAGAAACTTCCCTCTGGAATTCAACACTATTCATCAGTTACCGTCCCTCTCACGCAAGGAGCTGTTTTCCAGCCCGTAATTTACCCTTCATGGGAAACAGCCATAATGTTCCTCTCTATCATCAACCTTACGAAGATATCCTCCTAATGTCCAATGTGACAACTGCTAGAATAATTCTAGTTAAAACACCCAAATGTCCTGCATCTTTTCTGGACTACAGAAAAAATAAAAATAAAACACCCAAATGAAACAGTATTAATGAAGGCCGGGCTCGGTGGCTCAGCCTGTAATCCTGCACTTTGGGAGGCCGAGGTGAGTGAATTGCCTGAGCCCGCGGGTTCGAGACCCGCCTGGGCAACTTGGCGAGACCTCATCTCTACAATAAATCAAAAATATTAGCCGGGCATGGTAGCGCGCGCGTGTAGTTCCAGCTACTTGGAAGGCTGAGGCGGAAGGATCGCCGGAGCCCAGCAGGTCGAGGCTGCGGTGGCCGGGAGTGGCCACTGCACTCCAGTCTGGGCGACAGAGTGAGACTCCAACTCAAAAAAAAAAAAGAAACAATATTAATGAAGAATGAACAGGAAGAAGAATCCATTCATCCTAACATAAATCAATAAGCAGAGTTTCTACCACAAACTAGATCAATTATTTAGATTAACTTTACAATAAAAATAACTCCTTCTTGGTAGGTCGTTTTAGATTTTTCCTTTACCATATCAGTTATAATATGCAGACGGTATGGTGAATATTGATATTATAGAACCAGCGATAAAAGTAATAGCTGAGGGTATGGTTATTCTAAAGCAACATAACATCCTTAATTACCTAACTTTAAGTATATAAAATATGTGGGGCTAGGGCGACACAATGGGGTGTCCACCCTAACATTTTGCTTAGGCTAACATAAAATTTAAATTTATTTAGATTTAGAGAGAGATGGCAGAGGAGAACTTAAGGAGGGTAGCCAAAAACAATAAAACACAGGCAACCATGCACTTGAATGGTGAAAAAGAAAAGGAACCAAAACTAGCCTGGAGAAAGCAAGTTTTGGATAAGGATAGGAGGGGAATTTCACAGAATCCATACATAGGGTGAGGGAAACATAGATGACTGGGTTAGAACACTAGTTCTCGAAGTGTGGTCTCTAAACCACAGCATCAGCATCACCTGAGAACATGTCAGAAATGCACACACCTGGGGCGTGTCCAGGAGCTGCTGCCTGAGAAACTGTAGGATCGACATTCTAGCCAATCAGTTTCATCAAGCCCCGCTATCACTCCAGAAGTGACTACAGCCTTCCACCAGCAGGTGGCGACATCCACAGTGTATTTCCAGTTCATTTTAATTATTGGTGTAAAAAATTTTGTCTGTAACCAGCTCCTGAACATGCAGTCAGATCACAGGCTGCTCAGCTTGGCTGGGCTTTGGTGTGCTCATCTCTGAAGTAAGAAGTTTGGTCTAGCAAGGAGTTCTCAACCTCACTTTTGACAGCGGATATTTTGAAGGAACAAAAATCTCACATCCTCTTATTATTTGACATATATTTTTTTAAGCTGTCATCACTAAACACTCACAAATATTACAAGTTCCTGAAATGGTAGGGCTAAGAGAGATTATAGCCATCATATAATCTTGTAACAAGCAGAAAGGTATACCCTCCCCATAAAGCTGTACTAACACAAGTCTTTTCTTCTTTTTTTCGTATCTGATTTATTTCGCCCACCACCCAACGCCTATCTTCTCTACTTTCTTTAGACAGAATCCATAAACTAACCAGGTGTGGCAGCTCACACCTGCAATCCCAGCACTTTGGGAGGCAGAGGCAAGAGGACTGCCTGAGTCCACAGGTTTGAGACCAGTCTGGGCATTTAGCAAGACCTCGTCTCTACAATAAACCAAACAATGAGCCGGGCATGGTGGTGCATGTCTGTGGTTCCAGCTACTTGGAAGGTTGAGGCAGAAGGATCCTCTGAGCCCAGAAGGTCAAGGCTGCGGCAGCCGTGAGCATGCCACTGCACTCCAGCCTGGGCAACAGAGTGAGACTCTCAATCAAAGAAAAAAAAAAAGAGAGAATCCATAAACTGAGGTTTCCTTTTTAAATCTTTCTCCCTTCAGTGAGACCACCAGTGGTCAAAACATCTAACACATTGCCCAGCATAAAAGAGGAATGGAGAAAATACTAGTTTCTTCTTATCGTCTCACTTGGTTTCTTTCAAACAAGTATTGCCAAGTACTCTTTCCAGTGCTTTGGAAAAATTCATGGGTACAAATAAAAGGCTTGTTCTGTGGAATTTCTATTCCAGCAGAGGGACCAGATAACAGAAGAACATAAATAAATTATAAAACATATTTGCATCTATAATATAAGTAAAGAAAGAAGAGTAAGGAGGATGAGGCTGGCCAAGGAGATGGCAGAGAAAGGGGACTGCACTTTTAACCATCGTGCGTAGGTCAGATCCAATTGAAAAGAGGACATTTGGCACCAGTCATGGTGGCTCACACCTACAATCCCAGCACTTTGGGAGGCAGAGGCGAGAGGATTGCCTGAGCCCATGGGTTCGAGACGAGCTTGGGCATTTGGCAAGACCTCGTCTCTACAATAAACCAAAAAATTAGTCGGGTATGGTGGTGTTTGCCTGTGGTCCCAGCTACTCGGGAGGCTGATCGCCTGAGCACAGGAGGTCGAGGCTGTGATAGCCATGATTGTGCCACCGCGTTCCAGTCTGGGTGACAGAGTGAGACTTCGACCACTTAAAAAAAAAAAAAAGAGGACATTTGAGTAAGACTAAAAGGGGTGAGAGAATGATTCTCACACTGATATCTTTGGGAAGAGCATTCAGGCAGAGGGAACAGCAAATGTAACTGCACCTGTGTTGTCTGAAAAAAAAGTGTGGTTGGAGAGAGGAATGGGTCAGGGGAAGGGTAGGATGAGGTGTCATTTGCGAAGTGACAGGGAAGCCATATCGCATGGGGAGTGGCTACAGAACGTTGTAGGAACTTTGACTTTTACCCAGAAGGGAAATATAAAGCCATTGAAGGAGTTGGAGCAGAGGAGTGATATCATCTGATGTATGTCTTCAAAGGATCATTAGTGCTTCTGTGTTGAAAAGAGAACACGGTGGCTAAAGATAGAGCAGGTTAATAAGTTAGGAGGTAACAGCAGGGTCGTGAGAGGTAGCTGAACTGATTATCTAACTGAAGGTTGAGTCAACAGGAGTTCCTGACAGTTTAGAGACAGAGGCAAGGAGGCACTAAGAATGACTCCAGGGTGTCTGGTCTAAACAACGAAAACGGTGAAATTTCAACAGAAGCTTGTGGTCTTCTTCGTAGATTTGGGAAAGACCACAAATAGAATAAGTATACGTTGAGAAAGAGGAAGATGGAGGGTTTGGACATTTTAAATTCTAAAAACGCATTACATTACATTTCTAACTGGAGTAGGAAGGGGGCAGTTCGATCTCCATGGCTGGAGTTTAAGAAAGAGAGCTGGGCTGGAGATACAAATTAGTCAGAATATATGGCACCCTGAATGAGATCTCGATAAAAGCATACATAAAGGAAGAGCAAGTTCTGGGCCCATGGATATTTCCATGTTAAAAAGTTAGGGAGAAAAAGATGGTTTAGAAAAGGAAACCGAGAAGAAGTGAAAAGTGACATAGAAAAAAACAGAGAATGAGGTGTATTGGGAGCATGTAAGGACAGAGGATCAAGAACTCCTTAGCCAACTTCTAACTTCATCAATTGCTACACTCTCACTAGTCAAACTTGCTCCTTAATTGCAACTCAAGATCTCTTTTCATTCTGCTTTTATTATCACCTGAGACTCTGATCAAAAATAAATAAGTAAATAAATAAATACGCACATAAAGTATATGGGAGTACATACATAGGTTACTAGCAAATACAACACCATTCTATATCAGAGATTTGAGCATGGATTTTGGTATCCGCAGGGGGTCCCGGAACCAATCCCCTATGGACATTGATAAATGACTGCACTTATAGTTTTTATCACTTCCCGGGCTCTACTTCCTTCCTTTTTTTTTTTTTTTAGTTAGAGTCTCACTCTGTCGCCCAGGCTGGAGTGCAGTGGCATGCTCACGGCCACCTATGAGTTACTGTGTTATTACTCTTACTGTATTATTAGCCTTCCAAGTAGCTGCAACAACAGGCATACAACACTATGCCCAACTAGTTTTTTGATTTATTGTAGAGATGAGGTCAAGCTGCCCAGGCTGGTCTCGAACCCGTGGGCTCAGGTAATCCTCTCAAACCTTGGCCTCCCAAAGTGTTGGGATTATAGGTGTGAGCCACTGCGCCGGGCTCTACTTCCTTCTTACCAGTAGCTTTATGCCCATGCTCTAAAACCATAGTAATAACACAGAGAACACACAAAAACCAAAAGCTACATACTCAAAATACTTGTGACTCTACTCATCATACCTGTCTCCACTTTTTATTTAAATAAAAACCATATTTGATTAAAATAACTTACTTGAAGAAAGCAATCAACAGGTTCACCATGATAATATATTGCACGAAGAGGTAGACCGCTTGCAGGAATGGAGTAAGAAAAGAACCGGGAGGGCAAGATGGCTGGTTTGAACAAACTACAAATGAAGAATTTAAAAGAATGAGAGAGAAGATGAATCACTTTTGTGATTGTTCTGTGACTCTAAACAAGCATTTAGCACATTAACTGTGCAAAATACCACAAATTCCATACTTTTTTTTGAGTTGGAGTCTCATTCTGTCGCTCAGACTGGAGTGCAGTGGCCGCTCCCAGCCACCGCAGCCTCGACCTGCTGGGCTCCTGCGATCCTTCTGCCTCAGCCTTCCAAGTAGCCGGAACTACAGGCGTGCGCTACCACGCCCGGCTAACTTTTGATGTATTGTAGAGACGAAGTCTCACCAAGTTGCCCAGGCGGGTCTCGAACTCGTGGGCTCAGGCAATCCACTTGCCTCGGCCTCCCAAAGTGCTGGGATTATAGGCTAAGCCATCGAGCCGGGAGACATTTTTAAGATTCAGATGCTCGTTGTTCAGCTTTCTTTTTTTACTTGGAGTATGTACAAAGGCCAAATTTCTGCATGATGGCAAAAATCTCATACGCACCGTCTATATCTGAAGCATAGACTTCTCCGTAGATCATCCAGTAGGGCTCAAATACAATGTCTCGAGCCAGGCTCCAAGATGGTGGCTCCTTGGGTGAAAGGATGGCCTTTCGTGCCACTCCAAAGCTCAGCAGGACTATGGCCATCATGATCACAATGTAGAACATGTTTGCTGTCTGCAACATAGCATCGCACAGAATTTTACCAGAGACTTTAAATTCAAACAAACCAAACACTTGCAGTCATCGTAATTATACCTACTAAAAATAAGACTGTCCAGTCATTGGCTAAAATACCCCAGTCCATGAATTGCTAGGTTTTCTTTGGTTAAACCATTTGTTTTCTCTGTACAGTATGTGTTTCAAGTCAATGTAGTTCATGGAACAATACAAATGTGCTAAGAGTAAAGAATCTATGCTTCTTTCATTAAGCAATAATGAAATATGGACACCTTTTGATTAGCTAATATCTAACTTTTCCCCAATTGGACCAGAGGTTAGGAAAAGAAAAACAAAATAGGATGTATACAAATTAGACCAATGGCTCCTTATTCCTAGAATTATCTTTAGGAATTGATTAGAGTCTGAGAAATTGACCAGTTCAGTTTAATTTCATCTACTAAATGTCCATCAATTCAATCCACTGGTTCACTGTAGCAGAAAGAATATTTACCAAAGTGTCCATCAGTATTCCAAGAGCTGTTCTACATTTCTTAGCTTGGCTTCTGTTCGGCTGAGGCCATGAAAACTATTCTAGCCAATGGACTGTGGAATGATGGTTGGGTTGCTTCCTGTCCAGAGCAGTTACAAGTCATTAGACTCTCTCCGTCCAACTCATTCCCTGTCACAGGAGACCTTAAAGGCCACATATAGACATGGCTATGTAACAAAACAAAGGGATTCTAGATCCCTGAGTCACTGTATGGACCAGCCCTCATGAGCACTGGTCAAACCTTGCATTAGAGAGAAATAACCTTGTGTTGAACCACTGAGATATATTACTTATCTCAATATAGCCTACCTAATAAATACTATTGTCACCAGACCAGAGTAAATATTTCTAGTCAAATAAAAAATTGAAAAATAAGAAAAATCAGCCAGGCATGGAAGCTCATGCCTGTAATCTCAGCACTTCAGGAGACTGAGATGGGAGGATCCCTTGAGCCCAGGAATTTGAATTCAGTCTAGGAAACATAGCGAGACCTTGTCTCTGCAAAGATAAATAAAAAGTAGCCAGGGTGATGGCATATGCCTGTAGTCCCAGCTACTCAGGAGGCTGAGAAGGGAGTATCACTTGAGTCTAGGAGGTCAAGTCTGAGGTGAGGTGTGATTGTGCCACTTCACTGTAGCCTGGGCAACAGAATGGGACTGACTCAAAATGAAAAATCTGTCTTTGGAGTCCTGAAAGTTCTTCCTTTTCTGTCCTCTTCATTTGTTTCAGCACTACCTTTCATTCTCCAGAACGTGGACTGACTCTTTCCTACCAGTGAATGTTCTAGAAGGAAAAGCCAAAAATGATCTTGAGATACTGTACTTTCTAGAGGGAAGGTCTTAGGTTCTTACAAATAACCACATGGAAGAAACTGACAACTGTACAGCAAGCTCAGATGACTTACTTCAGTTTTTGTTTTGGTTTTTTTTTTATTTGGAGTCTCACTCTGTCACCCAAACTGGAGGGCAGTGGTTCACTCCTGGCCACCCCAGCCTAGACCTGCTGGGTTCAGGTGATCCTTCCACCTCAGTCTTCCAAGTAGCTGAAACTACAGGCATGCGTCACCTAAGTTTTTGATTTATTGTGGAGATGAGGTCTCACCAAGTTGCCCAGGCTGGTCTCAAACCCGTGAGCTCAGGCAATCCTCTCACCTTGGCCCCCCACCTCGCCCGGCTAATGACCTACTTTTGAATCCTGCCTCCCCACATGTGCCCTTGAGGAATTTACTTAACTTCCATTTTCTTGTATGTAAAATATATGTAATCACACTTCCTATCTCATAAAGTCACTGAGAAGATTCAACAAGTTAATACAAAATATTTAGAACAATGTATGGCCTACAGTAAGCACTATTTAAGAGTGCAGTAGAGGAGAGTGAATGACAAAAGAAAAAATTAATATTTTAGCAGAAAATATTATCAATGGTAGCCTCACATGAAGCTGGCTCTTGGAAATTACTGTGCTCAGAGACAGATTTGCCTCAGTTCCATATCATCTAATCAAAAGGATAAGCTGAGAATCCCAATCAACTACCCAGTACGCTCTCCAAGGACATGTGTTAAATATGAGTTTGTGGTTATATGGAAAGCCATAATGAAACGATCATGCTGGTCAGGCACAGTGGCTCATATCTGTAATCCCAATACTTTAAGAGGTCAAGATTGGAGAATCGTTTGATGCCAGCTCGAGGAACATAGTAAGACACCCACCTCTACCTCCTAAAAAATCGGATTAAGTAAAATCTATCTATCTATTTATTTATTGAGTAGGAGTTTTACTCTGTCACCCAGGATGGAGTGCGGTGGCATGCGGATGGCTACCACAGCCTCAACACGCTAGGCTCAGGCAATCCTTCCACCTCAGTCTTCCAAGTAACTGGAACTTTAGGCATGCACCACCATGTCCAGCTAATTTTTTTATTTATTGTAGAGATGAGGTCTCACCATGTTACTCAGGCTGGTCTCGAACTCCTGAGGTCAGGTAATCCGCTGGCCTCTACCTCCCCAACGTACTGGGATTGCGGGTGTGAGCCACTACACCCAGCTAAAATTGATTTTACAAATGATCTTGCTCTCCGTGCTTCTATAAATCCCCAAAGTTAAACCATTGAATTTAAACCATGAAATTAGGTAGAACCATCAAAAAGTAGCTAGGCAAGGTGGCATGTGTGTAGTCCCAGCTACTTGGGAGGCTGAGGTGGGAGGATCCCTTACACACAGGAGTTCAAATCCAGTCTAGGCTACATAGCAAGATCCCATCTCTAAAAAGAACGCCAGGATATAAAACTAGATGGTACTCACCATTTTCGCAATCATGGTCACATATGGCCCTGCATGTTGATTCACAGCAAAGAAGTCCAGCAGCCGTGAGAACCAGAATATGATGTCTATGCAGTAGAGGAGTCTTCCCGCTGTGTGAAAAGGAGGGTCACCCCACCGAAGGCCAAAACCAACTGAAAACAGGCCAATGGCCACAGTTTCCATAAGGTTCCAGTACTCACTAATCCATACCTTCACCTTTTGAGTGAACTTCCTGGGTTCTGAAATACAGATCTAAAAGAAGAAAGTAAGAGGGAAACTTAAAAGAATCCCATCAATATCTTGAATATATCGATCGCTCATTTAAAAGGTAACCTGAAATCTGCAAACCTTAAATCACATGGGGATTTTAAAGACTTAAGTTATCCTTGGTAATGAATTATTTGGTAATGAGTTCTATAAGTATAATTGAATGCCTCTGATAATGCTAGACGGTCACTTGAAAATCCTTCTAGACGTCTTTTATAAAAAGTACTTTTTCTAGCTTTTAGTCATCCTACAAAGACATGAGGAAACACTCAAAAGAGTTGGGTTTTGTTTTTTTTTTTCATTTTTATTTTGTAGCAGGAGTCTCATTCTGTCACCCAGGCTGGAGTGCAGGGGCACATTTATGGCTACTAAAGCCTCGACCTGCTGGGCTCTGGCAATCCTTCCACCTCACCCTTCCAAGTAGCTGGAACCACAGGTGCATGCCACCATGCCTGGCTAATTTTTGATTGATTGTAAAGACAAGGTCTCGCCAAGTTGCCCAGGCTGGTCTGGAACCCCTGGACTCAGGCAATCCTCTCACCTCCACCACCCAAAGTGCTGGGATTACAGGCATGAGCCACTGAGCCCAGCTACATTTTAAAACTTAATATTGCAATGGATTTGTATAACTACAGTTTCATTTCAGGAGGCATAGCAGAATGCAAAGAACACTGGATTGAAATCAAAGAATCCTGTAATCTTTTTTTGTTTTGAGTTGGAGTCTCACTCTGTCACCCAGGCTGGAGTACAGTGGCATGCTCATGGCCACCGCAGCCTTGAACTACTGGGCTCAGGCCTTCCAAGTAGCTGGAACCACAGGCATGCGCCACCATGCCCAGCTAATTTTTTGATTTACTGTAGAGATGAGGTCTCACCAAGCTGCTTGGGCTGGTCTCGAACCCGTGGGCAATCCTCTCACTTTGGCCTTCCAAAGTGCTGGGATTATAGGCGTGAGCCACTGCACCCTGCCGGAATCCTGTAATCTAGTTCTACTACTGCTACTTAGTGAGTTGTTGACAAGCTACTAAGAATGTGATATTGAAACTCACTATTATTAAAAAAAAACAAACAAACCCAAAACACCACATCAGACAAACTGAAACGTAAAAGAGTAAACCTATTTTCCCTGAGGCCTAAAAACTGACACAATTCAGATGTGTGTCTCCTAAATTATTTTCTACAATCTATAGACTCCACTATAATCCCGCGCCTTGGGAGGCTGAGGTGAGTGGATTGCCTGAGCCCACGTGTTCGAGACCTGCCTGGGCAACTTGGCGAGACCTCATCTCTACAATAAATCAAAAAATTACCCGGGCGTGGTAGCACGCGCCTATAGTTCTAGCTACTTGGAAGGAAGGCTGAGGTGGAAGGACCCCCGGAGCCCAGCAGGTCGAGGCTGCGGTGGCCAGGAGCAGCCACTGCACTCCAATCTGGCGACAGAGTGAGACTCCAACTCAAAAAAAAAAAAAAAATGTTTTTTGTTTTGTTTCTTGGACTACTTGCCCCAGAGGAAGTTTCAGCTTCAATTCCCAAAGGTGTAGGTCCTCTCAAAAACTATAAACGTATTCCTTACACATGACGCAACTAAAACCATTTATGTGCCACTCTGAGAAATGAAACTGATAATAGATAAGTAATACAAGGCTATAAAAATCAACGCCACCAAAAAAGAGAGACACAAAGAGAGAGAGAGAGAGAGAGAAACAAACAAACAAACTCAGGGAAATCATATAGTTGGAAGGTTTAATAACAATGAGATGGCACCATCTATCACTCTAGGACTGGTAAACACACTAAGACTTCTGCTTTAAAAACAACTGTGTCGAGGATTACCTGAGGTCAGGAGTTTGAGACCAGCCTGGGCAACTTAGTGAGACCTTGTCTCTACAATAAATAAAAAAATTAGCCAGGCATGGTGATGCATGCCTTTGGTTCCAGCTACTCAGAAGGCTGAGGTGGAAAGATTGCCTGAGCCCAGCAGGTCAAGGCTGCGGTGGCCATGAACGTGCCATTGCACTCCAGGCTGGGCAACAGAGTGAGACTCCGACCCCCCGAAAAATAAGAAAAAAGAAAGAACTGCGTCCAAAGTACAGCAACCTGCAGAAAGCAGTTGACAAGGAGAAAAGGTTGAAATCAGGGTTTTTTTTTCCTCCAATAACCTTCTTACAGCATGCAAATCAGGATCAGCATTTGCCATCTTCACTACCCTTGACGCGTCGATTTGCATCACCAGAGCCTAGGACGCCTCTAGCAGAGGTATGCAGAAGACAATGGGAAAAGAAGGCACAACTCACCTCCCTGAGCTTCTCAATGGCATTGGTAAAGATGTAAATGCTAACAAGCCACTCTTGCACGCTGGGCCGGGGCTGCATCTCCACCAACACAGTGTAAGTGAACAGCATGAGGAATACCAAATACGCCATCTGTGAGGAAGACACACATTCCCTAGACATGAGTGAGAATGAGCACCGAGAAAGCCAAGCGGACACAGACCCGGGAGAAGCACAAGCAGGAGCATCGATGAGATTAACAAACACAGACTAGGACCACCTCAGATGATAGATGACCTAATATCAAGGAAAGCACAAGAGTCTCTGGTTTTCTAGTCTAGGATTTAGAGGTAGGAATGAAACTATTGTTCTCATATGTATGGAAGGAGGCACTGTCTCACGCTGTTGGCTCCTGACTGGAATTTCCAGAACCCTGCACAGTCCAGCAGGGACACCGTCAGGCTAACAGCAAGCCAAGGAGGAGCCACACACCTTCCCCACCATCTTCAGCACAGAAAGAACTCGTGAGTGCTAAGCATGCCAGCTGTCAGTTGATGCATATTTCAAATGCAATGAATTGTGTCATTCACTACTACTGGGAGTCTTATTTTATGTTGATTATAATATTGTTTAATAGAAACATTTTATCCAACTGTGAACCCTTGTAATTAAAAAACTGTTTGTTGATTTGTTTCATCTTCAGCACTCAGCACTCCTTGACACATGGACAGACATTCAATAAATGTTTGCTTAATTATTAACTGTGTTTATTATATCCAGATTTCCAAACTCTTGAAAGAATTAAGATGTAGCAAACAAATTCACACACAGTGATTAATAGCTTTGGAATCTTATCTAACATTCTTATCTTCTTAGGATATATTCCTAGAAGCAGAATAGCTGTGCATGCACACTGAAAATTTTTACTGATGTTACTAAACTGTCAGAAAGGTTCTACCGATTTACATTATCACCACCAATGTATGAGATTGTGCAGTTCTTTAAATAGATTCAGTGACAACACATAGTGCTCACTGATCGATACTAGCATTAAAAAAATCTTAGTTCAGCCAGGTGCGGTGCCTCACACCTGTAATCTCAACACTTTGGGAGGTGGAGGCAACAGAATTGCCTGAACCCAGGGCTTCGAGACCAGACTGGGCAACTTGGCGAGATCTTGTCTCTACAATGAATAAAAAAATTAGCCAGGCATGGTGGCACATGCCTGTAGTTCCATCTACTTGGAAGGGTGAGGCGGAAGGGTCACCTGATCCCAGCAGGTTGAGGTTGCAGTGGCCATGAGCAGTGTGCGTGCCACTGCACTCCAGCCTGGGCGACAGAGTGAGACTCCAACTCAAAAAAATTAAATAAATTAAAAAATTAAATAATAATAATAAAAAAACCAGTTTCCCCTACCCAACTGTAAGCTGCTTGAGGACAGTGTCAATGTTTGATAATTTTGTCTTCTCGCCCCAGCTCCAAACCTAGTATACTATGTCTTCAAGATAGCAGTCTGCTCTCAGCAAAATCTAATTGAATAATCTGAACCTTATGTTACCTTCAGCTATAACATTTTCTTTCTAGCAGGCATAACATATGAGCATATGAATCTGAAAGATTTACAAACAAAAGACTACAAACTACAAATGTATTCAATAAACCGCTAGCTTGAGAAAGTAGCACAAGTTCCTCTACTTGAGAACAGGTTGGGTCTCTAAAGGTCGTGTTAAGGTCATTTGCTCATTAGTTCAACATGATGTCACATGAGCTACAAGCAGCCAAAGTATTCACACCCAGGTAAAGTGAAGCACTAAAACACTCTAGATATTGGTGCTATTGCTTCTGACTCTTTTTGTTTCTTTCCAGTTACTAAAAATTGAAACCAAAAAGGTTTACATTTTTGCTTTTTAATCACAACATTCATAGTATAACACTGCCTCAATAAAGCACACACACCAAGGTCTAGCAGTGTGTAGCAAGACTAAAATGCCTCATTGCTAACATCATCTGTTAAGGTGAGCAAATCTAGCTGGTTCTGTTCTGTAGATTAGAGATTTGTTCCTGTCTCTAAAAGCTCCTGAGACAGAAATTTCTAAGGAAAGAGATACCTGAGTACTCTCTTCCCAATAGCATGACTATGGTTAAAATTTTCTCAGAGCTGCTATCAGAATCTCTTGAATATGTTGTTACACATTTACAAAAGAGGTAAAATCTCATCATTTCAAGGGAGATTTGATTTTTGGAAGCAGTTGAAAGTCATTCAGAGCTATGTATTTATTCAATACATTTGTGAAATAACTGTGGCTGGCCAGGTAAATATTTTGAAATATCACACATTTAGATAAATATCCTTTTATAACACACTTAAATTGTTTTAGAAATACAAATTCAGGGCAGGAGGCAGTGGCTCATGCCTGTAATCCCAGCACTTTGAGAGGCCAAGGTGGGAGGAATGCTTGATACCAGGAGTTAGAAACCAGCCTGGACAACATAGCAAGATCTCATCTCTAAGAAAAAACAAGTCAAAAAAGAGCTAGACGAGGTGTAGTTCCAGCTACTTGGGAGGCTTAGGTGGAAAGACTGCCCGAGTCCAGAAGGTTGAGGTGGTGGTGAGCCATGATCGCGCCACCACATTCCAGCCTGGGCAACAAAATGAGACCCCACCCCCACCCCCACCCCCAAAAAAGAAATACAGGCCGGGCTCCGGGCTCAGCCTGTAATCCCAGCACTTTGGGAGGCCGAGGTGCAGGGACTGCCTGAGCCCACTGGTTGGAGAACGGCCTGGGCAACTTGGGGAGACCTCACCTCTACCATAAATCAAAAAACTAGCCAGGAGTGGTAGCAAGCGCCTATAGTTCTGGCTACTTGGAAGGCTGAGGCAGAAGGATGGCTGGAGCCCAACAGTTCGATGCTGGGGTGGCCATGAGTCTGCCACTGCTCTCCAGCCTGGATGATGGAGTGCGACTCTGACTCAAAAAAAGAAAAAGAAATGCTATGAAATAAATGTGAAAAGCACTCAATATATCTAAAGTACAGTTCATGCTTTGTGACTTTACTATCCATAAGACTACTTGCTCAAATAATTTCGCTTCTAAAATTTTTCATGTCTTCAATACATTTATAAGTATATGTTACTGAAGACAAAAAAACTTAACATTAGCATGTTTTTGTCTATATAACACATTCCTACAAAGAAAAAATTGATTTCACTGTTAATTTTCTTGCCCAAGGTGAAAGAAGAATCCACCCACCTATCACGTAATTCTACAAACACAGCTGCTAATCTTATTGTTCCACAAACCTTCAAATGCCCAGTCTTGGCTGTGCTGACTCTAAGTACCCCAAGAAAGAAGAAAATGTTGGTTCTCAAACTCCCAAAATAGGAGAGCTCCATCCTAACTTCTCCCTGCCATCAGCCAGTCCTCTTTCCTACTTACTTTGTCGTGTCCTCGCTTTTTGTACTCTATTTCTACATTTTTATTGCAAATTGGTAAGTTGGGCATATCATTATCATTTGCTATCAACTGTCATTAACACTACATAAACTGTTGTAATGAGACCAACCGTATAAAACCAAAACTTGACAATCGGAGCATTGTAGAACTCATAGACTTTCCTGGTCCATGGAAGGTTCTGGGGCCCACTCTCTAAATCACAGTGCTGAATTTCATCAATCTTCTCATCAGGGCCCCTTTCCAAATCATAGTCTTTCTATAAAATAAACAAATAATCAATTTTTCTTGGTCAATGGCTTGACTAAAATATTGACAGATGCAGATATCCCCCCCAAAATAATAAATACTATATACCACGGGTGCCCAAAAATGCATATACATTTTAAGAGATGTTATCTATTAGTTTTCAAAGTTGACTTGAATTATAGTAGCATTGTTTAATTGCAGAAGTCAAACATGACTTGTCTTTGTCTTTTGTTATCGGTATATATTATTACAATGATAATACAGTTTTTTCCTTTCTAAAATGGCGTACTTTTTTGGTCACTTTCTGTATTAGAAATTAATTGAACACCAATCTGCCAAATTACAGAGCTTAGTTTATAATTGCATGTATTGTTAAATTGAAGGCATTGTATAAATCTTTGACCAGATAAGGAGCATGGGGTATTTTTGAAATGCAAACTGAGTCTCTAGCAATCAAACCCAAAGTAAGAGTAGTTCCAAAGATTTAAAAATAGTCCCTACTCCTGCTCTGTTTAATCTACTTTAGCAGTAATTTTGGCACCTAAGGATACTACAAGACCCCTGTGAAATCAATCATGAATGGTGCAATTATTTTCTTACTACAGGAAGACAATATGAATACGCATTATGATTCATGTCCATGCTAAGTCACGGGCAGATCCAGACACAGCCACAACTGGTTTAGGATTCTGGCCTTTGATAGCATCTCCACTTATTTCTAGCAGAAAGCCTCTTTGCCCAGAGTTCACCGGCTCTCTGCGTTTCCAGAGTTCCTTGAGCACCCCGCAATCATAGGCAAGTATTCTCGTGGTATGTGCATTTTTCTAGGAGAATAATCAGATCTTCCATCGGTTTCTCAAAAGGCATGTGTCAATCCAGAGGAATTAGCCCATATGGAGAATGGGCAATGAGTATACGTGGCAGGGCAAGAGTGGCCAGAATATGACTACACAAATCGCCCCACAAAACAGGCTTTCAAAGAGGAAAGAAGATGAGTGAAATGGAAAGAAAAAAGTACTTACAGCCTAGCTATTTTTGAGAAGGAGGTCCTGGAAGGGTGAGGAAAGAAAAGCGAAAGAGAAGTCACCCTATGTTAGAGATTTCTGTGTGGTTTTAGTTTTTTAATGGAAAAGGCATTTATTTTATAAATGCAGTGATGTGATCACCTTGACCGCCTGGGCTCAGGTGATCCTTCCATCTCAGCCTCCCAAGTAGCTGGGACTACAGGCACGTGCCACCATGCCCGGTTTATTTTATTTTATTTTATTTTTATAGAGTTGAGGTCTCACTCTGTTGCCCAGGCTGGTCTCAAAGTCGTGGTCCCAACAATCCTCTTGCTTCAGCCTCCTAAAGTGCGGAGATTACAGGCTTGAACTACTACACCTAGCCTAGTTTATAATTTTTAAAAGTAATATTAAAAGAAAAGAAAGGAATGTTTTCTGCCACCATTTACAAGCTAGTCCATTTTTTCAACCCAGCCACAAAAGTTCTCTCCTTAGCAAGATTTTTCAAGCCACAAAAGTTCTCTTGAGCACGATTTTTCAAACCAAGGAATGATCAAATTTTGCTTGGATTGTCCATATAACTGCCTGAAAAAATGTGACCTTTGAGGCCTAGGACACCTAGATCAGTTGTCATCACGGCCTAATTGATTGTTCAGTCATTTACTCCGCCTTGGGTCTTTTGCGTTTTATATTTTGTCTTTTATATTTGTAGAGCTGAGGGCTCACTTTGTTGTCCAGGCTGATCTTGAACTCCTAGACTCAAGTGATCTTCCTGCCTCAGCCTCCCAAAGTTCTGGGATTATAGGCGTGAGCTGCCATACCTGGCCATGTACTCTACTCTGGACAGTGGGACTGAGGCTGTGACTTGGAGATGTAGCAACTGACTTAATTTCTAATGTGTTTCAAAGGAGCCCACAGTTAAAATGGTTTAAAACCAATTAGAAAAGTCATCATTTACTGAGATGTTAATGACATCAACACCACTTCCGAAAGATCCCCCAAAGCAAGTGAAGTCATGATTTCTTTTATTATTTTTTTCTAGGAGGGTTTTATTAGGTCTTGACTACACTTGACAGTTTGGTAGGGATTATAAAGTGCTGACTGAGCCAATCTCTGAGTTGAATTCAGACACCAACTGCCATGATCAAGACAATGTAGAAATAGAAATTCAAATTCAGGACTTTTTTTTTCCTTACAAGAAGGTAAAGACAAAAATACTTGGCTTAGCTCGTTTTTATTCCATTTGAATCTCTCTCGTTCTCTCTCTCCTTCCCCCCTTCCTCTGCCTTTCCCCTCCTTTCTTTCCTTCTAGCATGTGCCACCAAACAACATGTCATCAAGAGGTTAGCAGCTAAAAAGATTTAAACTGTCCATGGCAAATTTATGTTGCCTGTAGAAATTTCAACAAGGAATTTTATAAAACCTAAGTAAGCAAATGCACTATTTAATTCCAGCTCCACCTCAAGCATGACGGTCTTCCTTCTCGGGTCATCAGGGGTGCTTTCATCATATTCATTCCCCCACACTATGACCACAAGAACAAAGTACAAAGACACTCGAAAAGAGTATGTTGCATCTGCCTTAAGGTTTCTCCCACAATACATGATGCAAACTATCTTCCTCATCGAAGCAATCGCATTGACTTAATTAGCATTATGAAATCCTACTTGTCCCACCAAAGTGCTGTCTCAACACAAAATTCTAAAAATATAGCAGTCAATCAACAACTATTGCTTAAGTTAAATTCAAAGACAAAAGAAAAATATTGGAAGCCATTCATATTAGAACAGATTTGAAATGCTTTTTCAATAAATGCTTTACATTGAATAATGGCGAGGCATTGTATGTTCTGTCTGATTAGAAACAGAGACCACATCTGCAGTGTCCCCAAAACCTCTATCATATGAAAAATCACCATTCAATAGGCATTGAATTAATAAGCTGATATTGCTATGTCCAAACCATCAGGGTGGCAATTGCTATAAACAGGACTACTGTATCACAACCAAAATTTATTTTTTCAGGGAATTGTGAGAACTTAAGTAGATGTTTAATGTTAACAGCACACTTAATTGCCACTAAAGGAACGAATTCTTTCTCTAAGAGCCTACCCCTTTAAGAATGACTGCAGCTGGATTCAGTGGCTCACATCTGTAATCCTAGCACTTTGGGAGGCCGAGGCAGAAGGATTACTTGAGGAAGGAGTTTGCGACCAGCCTTGGCAACATAGTGAGAACACATCTCTACAAAAAATTTAAAAATGAGCCGGGCTCGGTGGCTCAGCCTGTAATCCCGCGCCTTTGGGAGGCTGAGGTGAGTGGATTGCCTGAGCCCGCGGGTTCAAGACCACCTGGGCAACTTGGCGAGACCTCATCTCTATAAAAAATAAAAATTAAAAAATAAAATTAGCCAGGTGTGGTGGTACATGCCTGTAGTCCCAGCTACTCAAGAGGGAAAGGCGCAGGGTCACCTGAGATCAGGTCGAGGCTGTGGTGAGCAGGATTGTGCCACTGCATTCCAGTCTGCATGACAGAGTGAGATCCTGACTCGAAAAAAGAAGAAAAGAAAAAAAGAATGCTTAGGGAATGCTCCTGCTATCTACAAGACCTTGTGTTTGTCAAAGTATATGCTTTATGAAAACTGTGAGAGTCAAAAGCAATGTCCTCTTCCAAAGTATTCATTGCTATAGCTTATAAAACAAAACAGCCAATCGATTGACAAATTTGTTTGCAGGTAGATATAAATAGATAGATGGAATTTTTCATTGTTTAGTTCAACAAGCAAGCTAAACTTTTTTTGTTTTGTTCTTAAGTCAGAGTTTCACTCTGTCGCCCAGGCTGGAATGCAGTGGCACGCTTCCGGCCACCACAGCCTCGACCTCCTGGGCTCAGGTGATCCTTCTACCTCAGCCTTCCAAGCAGCTGGAACTACAAATATGCGCCACCATGGCTGGCTAGTTTTTTATTTATTGTAGAGACGAGGCCTCGCCAAGTTGCCTAGGCTGGCCTTGAACCCCTGAACTCAGGCAATCCTCTTGCCTTGGCCTCCCAAAGAACTGGGATGACAGACTTAAACCACTGTGCCCAGACTATTTTTTTAAAAAAAATTTTTTTAAATTTTTTTATTTTGAGTCTCACTCTGTCATCCAGGCTGGAGTGCAGTAGCATACACACTCATGGCCACCCCAGCATTGTCCTACTGGGCTCAGGCGATCCTTCCGCCTCAGCCTTCCAAGTAGCTGCAGCTACAGGCGCACACTACCACCACTTCCAGCTACTTGGAAGGCTGAGGCAGAAGGATCACCTGAGCCCAGCAGGTCGAGGCTGTGGTGGCCGCGAGCGTGCCACTGCACTCCAGCCTGGGCATCAGAGTGAGACTCTGACTCAAAGAGAAAAAAAATTTTTTTGAAGTAATCTAAACTTAGCAGCAATATCATCTAACCAGTACGATTACAAATGTGACAACTGGACTAGCCCAGCTTTGCAAGGGATAACTACTCAGACTCCACTGACGTTAGAATGCACCAACCCACTTGGATTCTGAGAACACCAGATGGAACTATCAGACAGAAAAGAAAAAAATAGAAGGAAGGAACAGAGGAAGGAAAAAAGGGAGAGAGGGAGGAAAGGATGAAGGGAGAGAGGGAGGGAGGGCAGGCGGCAGGGAAGAGAAAAGAAGAGAATCACACACCTACCCAAATAGGTTATTGTCAAAATGCTTAACAACCAATCTGGCAGAGGCATCAACCAATCAGAATGAAGGCTACACTGATGACAACAGATGCTAGCCATAAAAAACAAATTATACTTAACTAACTGGTTTTCATTTAATGTTTTTAAATATTATAACAAATACGTTTTTAAGTTTTATAACAAATACTTCACAAGGACAAAAGAACATCAGGTGGGATGCTAGATAAAAATAATTCATTGAAGTATTAGGTACCAGAGAAGAAGTTTACTCCGCCTCACAGTAAATCGCAACTTTACAAGCAGTGATCCAACTTGAGACATAAAAAGCAAAGAATATACACAGAGTATTGGACAGTTTACAGTGAATATGGGCTGCAAAAAAAGCAGCCCAAGTTATCGATGAAAGAGTACACATCTAGAACTCAAGTAAAACTCTCCATAGCCACCGATTCTAACAAAGGAAAAGATCCGTGGAATGAAATAATAAGGAGCAACGCAAATTCTAAATGTGCAGCTTTATAAATAAAGACTTTAAAGCTATGAGGCATTCCTCATTGTAGTTAAAGAAGTAGAAGTCTATTCTACTAGTCACAAAGGAAAATGAAAAGTTAGGCAATGGTCAAGATAAAATAAAGTCTTTGATTCTGGCTTTGAAGTAGAAATAGAATATTTTGCTTGATTACATATGAAGAATAATTAGGTCTATTGTACAGACCATAATTGATCATAGCGTAATATACTTAAGATTATGCAAAAGAGAACTAAATGTTTGATTGATGAGTCAGAGACATTTTAGAATAATGTATAACACCAGGATCATCTGTCATCACTGTCCTGGAATAGTAGCCACAGATATTTTTGCTTAACACATTGCTATATAAACGTTGAGGATGTGTATATTTTTGTACAGTCAAAACAATGAAAACTCAGTCTACTAACCACACAAGCACTTTCTTTGGAACAGCTGGGGTTCTGGTCACCATTATACCACGTAAACTGGAAGTCCTGGGACTGGGGAACATGTGACATCTCAGCTTTGCTTTTAAATTCCAATGTCAAAATGGTGGGTGGTAAAAAAATACTTATAATGATCTGTAAAAGAAAACAAAGCAAAATAAGTAGGAGGGGTTACACAAGGAGCACCTATTATTCAAATAACCAAATTGAGGTATGTTCATGACCAGACTGGGCAACGTGGGGAGACCACATGTCTTTAAAAAAAAAAAGAATGTAAGGTATATAAAGTGTCAGACCCATTTCCAATTCAATTAATATTCTGATTCTTTACATATTTTTTGACTCAGCAATTTCAGTACTAGACGTGTCTCCCTCGAAAATACTCATGAATGCAAGCATATGTGGATAAGAATGTTCATTACAGGGTTATTTGTAAAGGCAAAAAAAGCTGTTGTCGACCTAAATGTTCATCTATAGAGGAATAACTGGGATGCAACAACCTAATCATGGACTATTTTGAAACCATTACAAAGGCAAACATAATGTTGAATGGGGGGGCCAAAATGGAATTTACCTATTTAAAAAATGTGTATTCATTCTCATATGTTTAAACTTCAGTCACCGTCATACTCTCCGTTTCATGCAACACACCTGTGGAGATGCTTTCTCCACTGCTCAAAACAGTTTTTGAACTCACCAGTTTTTATGCCTTTTAGTGCTTCTGCCATGTTTTTTTTTTTTTTACCTCTTCCACACTGGCAAAACATTTATCTTTGAGAACTTTTTTCATCCAGAGGAACAAAAAAAAACTCACTTGATGAAAGATCAGTGAGGGCGGGGCACAGGGGCTATGCCGTTTTTGGTCAAAAACTGCTGAATACTCATTATGAAATAGGCAAACGCACTGAAATAATCTCAAAAGGCCAGGCTTGATGGCTTCTGCCTGTCATCTCAGCATTTTGGTAGACCAAGACCAGTGGATTGCCTGAGCCCGCAGGTTCGAGACCAGCCTGGGCAACTTGGCGAGACCTCGTCTCTACAATAATTCAAAAATTAGCCTGGTGCAGTAGCACATACCTGTAGTGGGCTATTTGGAAGGCCGAGGCAGAAGGATCGCCAGAGCCCAAAAGGCCGACCCTGGGGTGGCCGTGAGCATGCCACTGCACTCCAGCCTGGGCTATGGAGTGAGACGCTACCTCAAGAAAAAAAAATCTCAAAAATAAAGATTAAACAATTCACTGAAGCTGAATGCACCCTCTCACACCAGTGTTAGCTGGTACACAGATGCCGATGGGTTCCTTGAACTCACCTAGCAGGGGAAGCCTGTACTACAAGGGACCCACCCTCCAAAAGTAAATTCCATTTTTTGTGGGGTATCCCCTCATATAATGCAAGGTAACCACACTACACTGTTAAATGGAAAAAAAAAAAGCACAAAGCAAATTACAGTCATCCTTTGGTATCCTAGGGGGATTGATTCCAGGACCCCTGAAGATACAACTCAGAATGTACGAGTGCCTGGTATATAATGGCATATTTACATATAACCTACACACGTCCTCCTGAATACTTTAAATCATCGCTAAATTACTGTTAATACTTAACACAATAGAAATACTTTTTATACTATATTGCTTTAAAATCTGTATTATTGTTATTTAATGTTTTTTTCTCAAATAATTTTGATCTGTGGTCGATTGAATCTGCAGACACAGAACACTTGGATATGGAGGGCTGACTCTCTGGAACGATATACAGAAAGTGATCTCATTTTTGGGGAAAAAAAGGTTAAAATTTTTTAAATATATATGCCTATACACATATGCATTTAAAAGTTTAAAAATATATATATAACACCGTTAGTGTTTATGCCTAGGAGCACAGAGGCAGGGCAGTAACAAGTATTATTTTTCAGTGAGCACATAGTTTTAATAATTTTTTAGGGCCATTAATAGTACCACATAAAGTACATTAGGTTGATTTATATTATAAAATCAAGAATATAAGAACATACCAATGTCACCTTCTGTTAGATCTGTCTCCCATTCTACACAAATATTTTTTCTGCCAGTAAAACCCAAGAATCCAGACATCTGCGATTTTTTATTATATTGCAGTCATTCATTAATTATTAAGTATTTTCTAAAAAAATTTTATGTTTAATTTGTATGGTCTTTCAAGGCAAAGAGCTCAGAATATTTACTAGATACTCTGAAAATAAACTTGATGAACACTACCTCTTTCAAGCTAAGATGAGACCTTGGTATTCTGGGATTCAGTGACTAAAAATAAGATTAAATTTATCTACACATTCATAAATATGGTAAACTGAAGTCATATCTTTGTCAGTCTTCATTTTCATAATGAAATGACCATTTATCATGTTGTTTTAATGCTTTATCTCCTGTGAAGAATCTCTGGATTTTCTCGAGCTCTAAGAGAAGTTTATTTGTGTGACTGTTTTGTTTTCAGATGTAGAACCCCCAAAAAAGTATTTCTCTAGGCCTGGAAAAAATCATAGTTACCATGCACAGTCATAACATTGCACTAATTAATTCCTAACCCCTTTCCTGAAAGCTCCCACATTCTGTCTCCCTTGTCCATGGCAGAACAATTGGCTGGCCAAACAGCATTTAACAACATCATTATCCCGACTCTAAGAATAGGATGAAGCCTATTACCCTAAAAGCATATAAATGAGTTCTCCCAACCACTTAACTCTATGAGGTCTTCTTGCAGCCTTCATCCACTCGGAATTAGTCTAAACAGGACATCCTATGATTATTTGCAAATGTGTTCCCAAAACTCACAAATCAAGTATTGATAACTAAGGATGTATGTGGGCACTGGAGAATAATGGTTTGCTGCAGCTCGGAGGCTTTAAGTAGCTCATTCAGCCTTTTTTTTTTTTTTTAGAGATGAGGTCTCTCCCTCCGTGTTGTTCAGGCTGGTCTCGAACCCCCGAGCTCAGGCGATCCTCTCTCCCCCCCATCTCCCAAAGTGCTGGGATTACAGCACTGCGCTCGGCTTCATTCAGCCTTCCTTATTAACTCACTCTGTGTTTTGGGGGAAAACGTAGTCTTACTTCACATAAGTCTCTTTTTTGGTATGAAGGATATGAGAACAGAATTCATTAAGTTCTCAGTAATAAGGATTTCTAATAAACTAACCTATGTACAGGACACTGACATGAGGAAAATTATTTCTCAAACTGCCAACTATTTATACCCTATCTCACACCCTGAACATTTAAGAGGAGTTATTGCCAGGGCTGGGGTAGCTAGAGATAGACCCATTCACATCTCCGCTTCTTCATCTTTAAGGCTGAAATCAGAGCAGATCAAAGGAGAACTTCTGAAAACAATTGTTGTTTTTCGATATTTCATTAAACAGGAATCCACACGGAGATCATTATTGTTTGACATTTCTCTTATTTCTGTAATCTCATCCATGGAAATTGAAACATGCAAACTCTTTAATATACTTTACACCTTACAACTTTTATTTCTTTAAGTTTTCTATACCAAGTTCACCAAACATATACTTTTACAGTCATGATGTTTGAGACATGCCATATTTCTAGAAGTTCTAGGAAGAATAAAATTAGAATAAAAAACATAGTCTTATATCGGTCTTAATACTCATTCTTTATCTCTTTTTATTTAGTTTCATAAACACCTGAGCTTTAAGCTTAGGTTTAATGTCAAAGTTTAAAATCCTGAGTAGCCAAATAAATTATTCTTGATAATCAAACATGACAGACGAGGCTGAGACTTTTAAAATGGTTAGTGAGATAAACAAATGTGTTTGAGGGCATCATTATGAAATAGTCACTTATTCCCTGAAGCAATATATTGGGCGAGCAGAACAACAGAAATTGCTAATTCTATTTCGCTAATTATCTGTTAGCATTCTTACACTGAGAAAAATTTAACTAAAAAGTATCACTTACTTTTGTTATCATTATCAGTGGTAATGGCATTCAGTAATAACAAAATCTTGCATATGTTTATAGACATACACACTTTTAACTTCTAACCACCTTTACATGAATATGCCTTTGTGGACATGGCAGGTACACATATCCCAATTTTGGAAAACAACTGACAGTGGAAGATAAAGTCATTTCTACAGAATCCACTAGGAAGATCCCAGCTCACTGTGACAATCAAAGTTATTAACTGGTTTTCCTGAAGATACGCTTCTGGAACAAGTTAAAAATGGATCACAAGAGTACAGGATTCCACACTAAACTAGCATTAAACTCCATAAGGCAAATAAATTTACCTTTAACCAAGAGTTCTTCCTCATCTTCAGGCGCCCCATCCACATGTCCGTCAGTAGCATTTGGGTACAAGTATGTGAAACAAAAGGTCGTAATCCTCCCGACACCGCCAGTTTCAAACAGGTAGAGTTGCTCCAGTTTTTCAGTTCATACATCAAAAGCTTCATGGCCATTCGCTCATTCTGCTTGAACGCCTTCTCTAACACATCCAGGGCAAGCTGGCCAAACTGTCTGCAGTAACGATGGCAAATGGAGAAAACAAAGGCACTTGAGAGCCCTGCATTTTTAGAAACATTTTTGAATGTTTAGAGACATTCTAAAAGATCGGATGTGAGCCTCAGAAAAAACCAATTAATTACGCTTTCCAGAAAAAAAATTAAAAAGCTAGGCATGATGGCACACGCCTGTAAGAGGATTGCTTGAGCCCAGGAGTTTGAGAACAGCCTGGGCAACATAGTGAGACCTCAACTCTACAAAATATAAAAAAATTTAGCCAGGCATGGTGATGTGTGCCTGTAATCCCAGCTACATGGGAGGTGGAGGTGGAAGGATTGCCTGAGTTTAGGAGTTCCAGGTTGGGGTAAGCTGTGATTGTGCCACAGCACACCAGCATGGGTGACAGAATGAGACTCCAACTCAAAAAACAACAACCCCCACCCCCACCTCCAGCAATTTAATAATCTCAGTTTACAGTTTACAGAAGTGATTTTAAAGGAATTTGCTGCTCAGGAAAGGGATTGTTCTCCCTTTAGCATCAAGATTTTGAGAGTTCTAATGGAGGTTTTCAAACTTATTAATTCAACACTTTATAGCTATGAAACTAACTACAGAAGTTAGCTATAAACTATACTATAATGTTAACTATGAACTAACTATAAATTCCCTGAAATCCAACCAACTGACTTGTCTAATCGGGAAGCAGCCAGACTAGGAACCAAGTATCCTAACTTGATGGCCACCACTCTTTCCTTTATATCACAAAGCTCCTTGAAATATTCAAAGACCTTTTTCATAGGAGAGTCTGTGAAATGCATGGCAATAAGTCCACTTGTCACAACTTCTAAGGTGAGAGAGATAAAAAGTGTCTGACTGTTGTAGGAGTTTTGAACTCCACTGTCAGCTTAAACAAGCAACCTCGGGTTTTTGTTGAATGACTAAGATTAGGGAACGTGAACCCCAAAAGGATGAGTAAAAGGAGTTTATTCAGCATCAAAGCTCTCTAGAAAAGTGGGGGGGGGGGCGAAATGGGTAACAGTGTTAGGAGTCTCTCTGTGGTTTTTATCTTATCTTTTTGGGGCATTTCTCTCATTTACATCTCTTCCACCCCTTACTTTCTGAGACCCAGTTTTTACTGTGCATGAGGGTCCTTGACCAAAGTTACTCCATCTTAAATATTACCTGTAGGTACCACAGAAAAGCCCACTCAGGGAGGTAATGTTAATACTATGTTAATGATTATGATAAGCCAAGATCCAGTTAGGACATTTAGTTAAGCTACTGCGCCTGCGTTTAAGCAACAAAAAGGCCCTTTTAGCAGTACATCCCGGGTTGACAAGATGTTCTTAACCACATTTTAAGCCAACAAGCACATAATGGGGGTGGTGCAAGGAGCATTCCCATAGGTGTGAAGTCTCCTTGAGACCCTCCCTGTTGGTCTCCCTGTCTGTCTGCCTAACCAGCTTCTATCTGCTCTCTCATAACCATTCTAAGATCTGCATATGTTTAGTAGGAAGTGAGGAGAGAACACCTACTTCGAGTAATTCTTCAACTCTTCTGAGGCATCATCCACCATGTGACTCTCCTTAGCTTCATGGGCCATCGCTCGGTAGAGGATACAGGCTATCACTGCTTTAACCGTGGCCTCCTCTCCATGCTGCCAGAAGAACATGGCCATCTTCTGCCTTTTCATCAGCACAGCCCAAACCAGCAGGTCATTGTAAGGGTAAATAAAGCCAGTAGTCTCAGAGTCATCTGATACATTTTGTTCTTTCGACTTCTTCCTTGACTTATGAAGTGCTACAGACTTTTCCTGTAAAATGAAATAGGAAAATAAAAATAGGAATGAGTTTTCAAACACTCGGATGCATGACAGTTTCCCTAATTCAACACAGCAGGTATCCTAGACGTATTTTTTATAATCACTACAAAAAAAGAGATGGAAGTAATAATAGGGCTTTATAAGCCATTAAGCAAAATGTAGACATTTCATAACAATCTATTTCTTATTGCATTTACTAGATCTAGAATCCCTAAACTGAAATATCTTAAGTGCATCTGGCAACACTTCAAGCGGCACCTGTTTGGGATATCCCTAGTAACCATACGACAACATCGAATTTCTCAAGGAAATAGGTTGAAGTAACACATTGGATAAATGAGAATAATGCACGTTTTTAAAAAGCTCTCACCTCACTTGAGTGAATAGATTCATTATCTTCCCCTTGGAAAAACGTCCCTAGTGTTGCCAACATGTGTCCAAATAGATTAGTTTTAAGTTTCCTTTCCTTTATTCTAATTATGTTTCTTAGTGATGGTAATAGGCGATGATGAAATAATTTTCTCCACCTGATAAACCCGCCTCTCCAGCTCATCGCAAATGCCATGCGGCTCCCCATACATTCCTACATCACTTCAGATGTCTGTATTTCAGTGCTCATAATGCTGTGTTATAGTTATTACTTTGAGGAAGGTGAGACCATTTCTCAGGCATCATTATGTCTTCCCCAACCCACCCACCTTCCAAATCCAACCAAGCATTCAGCATGATACCAGGCAGATGATAAAGATCCAATAATTATTCTTGTTAATCTGAGAGGTCATAGCAAAAACATTGTAAACTGTTTCCTCTCTTTGTCTAAGTAAAGGGAATTTGTGTTCATTGAGGATGATCAAGGGCGATTTAATAAAATACCTTTTCATCCCAGAAACTATGGAAAGCAATCCTCTTTCAGACAACATAGTCACCATTCAAATGGAAACAACTGAGTATAAGCAATTATCCCCAGAGGAAAGCGGGTCTGTGGAAGTCTGGGTAACTCGTGTGTGTATGAGTATGCATGCGTGTGCACACACACACACAAATACATCATCCTTATCATAGTGTAACATTAGGCTAAAATTAATTTCAAGAAAGTCCGAAAGAAGAAGGAAAAAGAAAAAAAAAAATCAGTGTGAGAGAGAAGTTAAGGAGAATAAGGAAGCAGACATCACATGCTGCAACTGGCCTTCAGGAAAGGGAGATAAGTGTGTGGCACTGAGCTAGTGATCACATTTTTCAAGTACCATCCCATAGACTGCCAGCCTGAGTCACCATCTGGACAAGGTAGAGGCAGAAACAAGGAAGAGAGGTCAAAGTTGCCAGCGCCGTGCCTTTACTCACTGTTGTTGGAGGATGGCTGTGTTGTGCTTCTGACCCGCACCCAGCCTAAAAAAAGTCTCCTCTTGGCACCTACAAGTGGGCCCTCCATTTGGACCCCCTTTTCTCCAAAGTTAAATGAACCAACCTGCAAAAGCCATTTCACACTCAAGTCCAAAAATAAGTAAGTGGTACCTTGAACTTATAGGGCTGGGCAGTTCTGATGAACTGGGAATGCAGTGTACTTTCCGCAGACTCCGTTCTGTTTCCTGAGGAGCATCTCCGGTGCTGGGAAAGGTTTTGAACGAAGCTTGTAACTCTCTGGCATGCATTGTTAATTTTTAAAATAAGACAAAAAGTGGGGGAAAGATTACAGTGGTAACGACATCTTATTTCCAGACAACAACAAAAACCAATTATAACGTTATGTCCTGCCAAATAGCCACATCTCTGTCTCTCATCCATGACTTATACTCAACAGGTGCCTCTCATGACTCTTTATTACACAAACTGTTATTTCCTAATTTTAGAGAACACACTCTTTTTTTCCCTGTTATATATCTGCATTCCTTCTCTATGTGGAAATTCCATTTGAATAAATAGATGTTCTTTACCTGGAACAAGACTGGAATAGGCAATAAAGATTTACAGATCCGATAAGAAAAAGTTCTCATTCACAAGTTCCAAGGTTAAGGTTAAGTTAGAAAGTTATGGGATTTCTCCAGGTGTTATATAATATCTCTACTAGAATTCCAGTAGCTAGGTCCAATAACAACGTAAGTCATTGCCATCAGCACGAAGTTTTTATCAGTGAGAAACAAAAACAAACAGAAGTATTTTTTTAATTTTGATTTTTTGTAGAGATGGGGTCTTGCTATGTTGTCCAGGCTGATCTGAAACTCCTGGCCTCAAGCAATCCTCCCACCTCAGCCTCCCAAAGTGAGGCTAAATATCCAGCCTAAAAAAGAAGTATACTTGAAGGAATTAACATGAAGTATGATACAAACCATAGGTTTTGAGCTACTTTATTTATTTTTAGTTTGCTTTTTATGGATTAAAATTGGACATAAATAAAATGAGGTCAAGACTTTTTAAAAGCCATTGTCTTATTAAGCACTAGCCACGTCATGTGCTCATTGAGCTATGGCCAGACCATGTTTTTTTGTCTTCTCCCCTACTTTGAGGAGGTGAAACTCTCCTCTCCTCTCTCCTCTCTCTCTCATTTGCCATTGTTTTGCTAAGCTATGGCCAGGCCGTGTGCTCTTTGAGCCGTGTTTCCTAAGCTTTGACCCCTTCCCCTACATAGGGAGGTGAATCTCTCTCGCTCTCATTTACTTTTTAAATAAACTATTTTTCCAATCTAAAAAAGAAGAGACTTTATAAAGATAATGTTCAAATTATTAGTGTTATCTTAATATAGAATTAATAGTATCATCTTAGCAATAATCATAATTTATTACTAACAATTGCTCTACATCTTCTATTTATCAGGAATGTGGACTTTTCATGTAGTATTTTATTTAATCCTTCTGACAATTTTATGAAAGGGGTACTAATATTCCCATTTTATAGATGAGGAAACGTGCAGAGAGAGGTTAAATTTGTTGCTGAAAATTACACAGCTATTAATGAGCAAAACTTGGATTCAATCCCAGATCTCTCTGACTCCAAATCATGTACTCATACCTGCTACAATCTAGTTTACTATGAAATGTGATAAACTCTGTACTCTTTCATGGAAAACAACCAGAGCAATGGGTAATTCTGATGGTGGGTAATTCATACAGATGGGTCATTTCCAGAAAGGGCACAAGGGGAATTTCCCTAGCAAGCTCTGTCTTAAACAAGGCAGTACCGAGGTCACAGTCAGTTCTCATATCCACCACAGGGAACCTCACAGCAATGTATATTTTGTTTAAATGAAGTAGTTGATACTTCCTTAAGTGAATCTCTATGCCTTTGAAATCTTAATAAAGAACATTTTCTGTGTGAGATTTGGGTTTCCTTTTAGTTTGTGTTGTTTGGTTTCTTCATTTCTGAAAACCAGCTGGGCTTTCACTTCATCTGATTCTTAATAAATAAAAGTCCAAGGTCAGGCCTGGTGGCTCACACCCTGTAATCCTAGCACTTTGAAAGGCTGATGCAGGAGGACTGCTTGAGGTATGGAGTATAAAACCAGCCAGGGGCAACATAGAGAGATGCCCATCTCTGTATTTTTTTTAAATGTAAAAAATTATAAGAAGATAAAGTTCAAAAAAGTCTGGTATTCTAGGCTCGTTATCAGATCTTACAACAAACTACCTTTCCAGTCTCACCCCTCACAATCATCTGATACTTGTCCCATGACAAGTCTTCTTGTCACTGCAGAAACATGCCCCAAGTAGGCACAGGTGCCGAGCCCTTCACTGTGTCTGCTTTTCTCTCAACAAAAGTACCCAAAACACCTTTTCAAATTCTGTCCTTATTCTCCTTTCATAGAGATGAGATCTCTATGTGTTGCTCAGTCTGGTCTCCAACTCCCAGCCTCAAGTGATCTTCCCGCCTCTGCCTCCCCAAAGTGCTAGGATTATAGACCTAAACCATGGGGCCTAGCCTCAGTTCTGCTCTTAATCTGTCATAAGAATTAGTCTCCTCAAGTTACTAACCTGTAACGGTGTTTTAAGAAACAGGCACCGGGCGTGTTGGCTCATGCCTACAATCTCAGCACTTTGGGAGCCAGAGGCGAGTGGATTGCCTGAGCCAGCTGGTTCGAGACCAGCCCGGGCAACTTGGTGAGACCTCATCTCTACAATAAATCAAAAATTAGCCAAGCGTGGTAGCGCTTGCCTGTAGTTCTGGCTACTTGGGAGGCTGAGGCAGAAGAACTACCTGAGCCCAGCAGGTTGAGGCTGCGGTGGCAGGGAGCGTGCCACTGTACTCCAGCCTGGGAGACAGTGAGACTCTAACTCAGAAAAAAAGAAAGAAAGAAAGAAAGAAAATAACAGGCAATGTTTTCTCTGCTAATCTACTAAACAACAACTCTAATTTCACATTCCTACATTACTTTCGAAACTATAATCAAAAATAAAAGTATGTACATTTTGTTTTTAAGTGCATTCTGCATGCACCTTTCAGTATAATCCCTACATGCTTATCCCAAGTTTGTCATCTCCAAACTATGGACTATGGTGAGTTTATAAATCTGATCCTTTTTATTAATCTTTTGACATCTGTCTTTTCAAAAGAAAAAATAATTGGTCATCTCTTTCTTTAACCCATATCATCACATCACTTCTTGTGCCAATATAGCTCATATGATAGATGGTTTTGCATTATGACTAGTTATTCATAAATCTGTCTCTTCTAGGAGATCTAAACTTTCTGACTTTTATGTTTATCCTAGGCCAGCACGGCAACACTTAGCATGGTACTTTCCATATTGCCGACAACAAATGTCCATAAATACAATGCCCATTTTAGAAGCTATTCTCATCTGAACATTCAAGCCATGTTTCTAAAACAACAATTCCTAATTACTCTTAATTTTACTAAAGCACTTTACAATTATGCTACCTTATGTTTTCTGTTGAGGTTGTTGTAGAGGGCTCTGAAATTTTTTCTAGTGTAGCTACTGCGATATGCTCTACCAATGAGGTATTCCACTACCAGTCCGATGTCAATCAGTGTTATTCTGTAGCCTGGCAGAAGGGTGTGCTGCAACAAACAGAGGCAATGAATTACACCTTTTAGTTGTCTTTTTCTATCTCTTTTGCCATGCCATTAGAACATAACCAAATTCATTGCAAAGAGGTAGACTCATACTTTTGAATATGCTTTATAAACTGATCAATTAATATGAACAACTATTGACACAACAAACTGCTCCTTCAGAAAAAAAAGATCTTAGCCTTAATGAGTTTAGTTTCAGACATTAAATGTGTGCTTACATCTGTTCGCTCTCTCTGTCACTCTACCTCACCATGCACACAGACCCACATATACACATTTGAATAAAACACACATTTAAACATAATTTTTATCTCACGTCAAATTCCTAATTGGAAGTAAGAAAAAATATTAAGTAGAAGAAAACAAATAAATATAAGATATATATAATAGTTTTAAACGAGAAATAATATAACTACACCAACAAAAGTAAAATAAGGTATATACTGAATGTGTGTGGTCCAAAAGTAACATTAAGTTAACTGTTCAATCTCTCTTTTGTTAAAATGGCTACAACACTTTGCACTGTTTTGACTACCTCATATGGAAAACAAGAATATGGAAGGAAGCAGAACAAATAAAAGCAAGAAACACAGAATGACAGAGCCGAATGAGTTATCAAAACATGAGGATGTATCAAGACAAACATTATGGCAGGTAGGAGGGCTGAGCAGATTTCCTATTATGTGGGTCATAGCATAAATGAAAATGACTTTGACTTCTTAAATCCCACTTACTACCTCTTTGTAACTGTTCGCTTCTGAACTGCCAATCATAGTACATTTTTAAAGGCACACAAGAATGCTGAACAAGGTCTCCGAAATGAACAGATTGTGAATAATCACAATTCCAAAACTTGGAACAAGAAATAATTATCTGCATATATATGTATATATGAGGGTGCAAATAATTTTTTCCACATTCATAATTTACTTTTTTCAAGAAACACCAAAAATTATGCTCTTATTACTCCTAGTTAAAAGCATATTTAACCTAATTCATCACCTTTTTTTTTTCAGTTTACTGTGATAAGTTTAAGGAAATAATCTAAGGAAATCATTTTGACATAGCCTAAACCAATGCGAACTAAATTTACATCAGATGGACACTTTTGCTTACTACTAATTTGCCAACTGAATATCTTCCTCTCACTCTGGCTCTCCCACCAAGTCAGCATAACCAGAAAGTTCATACTCTTTCTAACAAGATATTAGACTTCAGAAAAAAGAGAACTTTGAAAAATGTATCTTGGATGAATTTTAACCATAGTGACAAAAAGCACTCCCAATTTTCTGGGAATGTGAATAACAGAATTGGTAATTTAAAAAAAAGATATTAAGATATAAACGTCTGTTAATGTTGGAAGGTTTTGGTAACTAATGGGGGATCAGATGATTTTATTTTAAGTCTGACCTACCAGCTACATGATGATGGCAAAACATGAGCAAGTTGCACAACTGGGGATCTACCCTGACTTGCTAGGACGATGCTTAGACTCGGGTTCACAGAAGAAGGAAGAGTCCCTGAGCTATCACTGATATCCAAAATAATAATAATAAAAGCAATGGAAACCAGTGATTGTTCCTCCAATAAAGATAACAGAACCACGGAGTTCTTTATTTTTAACTGATATTATTATCATCATTGGCATCACCATTGTACCATGTTAAGCTGAAGTTCTGATTGGAAGCATTGCATGTCTCTGATTCATATTTTTTTATAAAATCTTTTAAAACATAAAGCACCTCTATTCCTGGGGGCATGGTCTTTAAAAAACAAAATAAATTAAGGAAAAAATGTAAGAGTGTGGTTTGGTGATGAATTGTTCAGAATCACAGATAAACGAGATAGGTAATTAATAAGAAAACTTGATGACTTCTCTACCACAAAGCCAAGGCAATATACAAAGATACTTTCACACCTTCATAATTAGGTTACCTGCTTTACATCTTGGACAAGATGATGCAAGAGCATATTAGTAGGTCCTTGTTTCTGTGATAAAGAATAAAAGAAAGAATTATTCTCTTTAATTATCATGTGCTGGGTGGAAGAACTTTATTTTAGAATGCATTTTTATTTTTAATTTTAAGGTTTTTTTGAGTTGGAGTCTCACTCTGTCGCCCAGACTGGAGTGCAGTGGCCACGCCTGGCCACCGCAGCCTCGACCTGCTGGGCTCTGGCGATCCTTCCACTTCAGCCATCCAAGTAGCCAGAATTACAGGCAAGCGCTACCACGCCCAGTTGATTTTTTGATTTATTATAGAGATGAGGTCTCTCTGCCCAGGCGGGTCTCAAACTCGCGGGCTCAGGCAATCCACTCACCTCAGCATCCCAAAGTCGTGGGATTACAGGCTGAGCCACTGAGCCCGGCAGTAGAATGCATTTTTAAAAACCAACCCAGAATGCTGAAAATTTTGTTCAATGTTTTTTGTAATGAAATTTAAGACAATTAATTCTACGGAATGTGTTTTCTAAGAGAGGATGTAATTACATGAAACGTTTTTCAAAGCAAGATGAATACAGGTAGATAGATCTTTAACTTTATGTGGTAAGAGGTAGAAGTAACTTTAAGTAATTTATAACTGTCCTTTATCATATATGAATGTTATACAATTACAAATCCTATCACACAAGCTCATGCCATCATGAGATATCTATTAGAACCCTACTATGTTTAACCAGACATTCAATGACAAATAGCACTGTCTTCTTGGGGTGCTTATACTAATGGAAAAGATTGGGTACTTACACTAAAAAATAATCAACAATAGGTGACATGTGAAAGGAATCCCAAATAATTTGTTTCTAAGGGCAGATCAACATGAACTAACTGAAGTAATCAAGAAGACAGGGCTTGAACAGATCTTTGAAAAAAGAATAAGATTTAAAGGACAATGTTCTGGCCGGTTGTAGTGGCTCAGGCCTAAAATCCCAGCACTTTGGGAGGCTGAGGTGAGAAGATTGCATGAAGCTATGGGTTCGATAGCAGATTGAGCAACTTGGTGAGACCTTATCTCTACAATAAATCAAAAAATTAGCTGGGCATGGTGGCACATGCCTATAGTTCCAGCTACTTGGAAGGCTGAGGCTGAAGAATCACCAGCAGGTCGAGGATGTGATAGCCGTGACCATGCCACTGCACTCCAGCCTGGGTGACAGGGTGAGAACGCCAACTCAAAATAAATAAATAAAGGACAATGTTCTTATTCACATCTTTGTCTTTATGTCTTACTGGGATAAAATGGAATTGGAAGGAATATTTTTCCTTTTGGTTGAGAAGTCTGTCTCTCGATAAATTACATTTGTACATGAATGTTCAAAGAAACGAATAAATCTTAAGGTAATTGTTTTCTTTTTTTTTTGAGTTAGAGTCTCACTCATCACCCAAGCTGGAGTGCAGTGGCATCGTCACTGCTACCACAGTCTCAGCTTGCTGGGGTCAGGCGATCCTTCTGCCTCAGTCTTCCAAGTAGCTGGAACTACAAACATGCACCCATGCCCGGCTAATTATTTTGACTTATTGTAGAGACGAGGTCTAGCCATGTTGCCCTGGCTGGTCTCGAATTCTTGAGCTCAGGCAATTCTCTCGCCTCAGACTCCCAAAGTGCTGGGATCACAGGCGAGAGCCACTGCGCCTGGCCTCTCAAGTGGATTAACAAATAAATCCTAAGGAAATGATTGACTAATTGTACCATACTCACCGTATTGTAGAGCTCTTCCAGTCGAGGTATGGTAAGAAAGCGATGGAGGTTCACCCCATATTCTATTAAGAGCTTCACAAAATCTACCCGATCCATCACTAAAGCATCTAACATTGCTTGTTCCAGGGTGCCAGGCTTTGGAAGACATAAATAAATTATAGATATAAAGTCATTTAAGAAAGTACAAATAACTAAAGAATCGCATGTGTTTGAAACTCAAAACTACTGAGATACAATAATTATAAAATATAGTTTTACTAAGAAATGTGCAGGACCTAAGTGAAGACATCCTGACTAAATCAAGAAACAACCCACGTTCTTGAATGGAAAAACTGCCTATTGTAAAGATCTCAAAGCTTCATAAACTAATGTATAGATTGAATGCAATTCTAACAAAAATCCAAGGTTTATCTTTTTGTGTGTGTGTGTGACTGTCATGTTTCCATTTAAACTAGATTTGGCTTCTGGTTAGAGTGGCAAATTGAACACACTCATCTAATTTTGTTCCCACAAAAACATCATAGATACTACAGTAAAAGGATTGGTTTTGAAGAAACAGATCAACAAGGACAAGGAAGACAAGAGTGGAGACAAGGGTATAACATTTTGGAAGCTGTAAAGCAGATAGTCAAATGGTGACTGACTTAGCAATCAAGAACCAAACTGATGTATCCCGTAGAATTACAGAAGCACCAAAATGAGGTAAATGTACATATATGCCAAACCCAAATGTTGACTGGCCTTCCCAGTCATCTTCCCCATTTGACTCCCAAAACACTAGCAACAAGGTTTGTGCCTTCCAGTCAGGATTATTTCTGGCGATGTCACAAATACAAGAGAAATGATATGAAGATGCTGACATCTGGGGAGCCCCCAGCTAATGGCAGTGAGATCACCCTATTTGTAAAGCTCAGAATTACAGGCAAGCCCCAACTACAGGTTCAGAATTTCTAATGAATGTCCTGTCACCCACCCTTAAACAAAAAAGACCAAACAAACAGATCCAAAAACATCAACCAGGAGGAAGCAGACAATGCAGGAAGAAGAAAACTACAAAAAGGCTATCATTAGTATCCTTAAAGAGGTAAAAGAAGATACTGTATTATGGAGGCTAACCAAAAAAAAAGGAAGGGTACAATAAGAGAATGAATTTATGCTTAGAAATTAATAGATTCACAATGTTACTGGAAAAGAAAAGCTCCATAGAAGGCTTGAAAATTAAAGTTGAAGAAATCTACCAAAGAAAAGATAAGGAACACGAGGAAAGATTTAACATTTATAAAGAGGGAAAAGATAAGATTAGTAGAGCAGTTCACAAGGGCCAACATTCAAATATCAGGAATTATAGAAAGAGAACAATGAAAACAAGTGGGGAGTTTATGGAATGGAACCGAATGGAATGGAAACACATGACTGCCAAGTTGAAATCATGTGTCCAGCATAGGTACAGATCCAAAACAACACATATCACTGCCAAATCTCAGAACACTGGGGAGGAAATGGATGCAGAGGATCAGAAAACAAAACTTTTTGCTTCTTTACAGCAACACTGCGTGCTGGAAGCTAGGCATTTAAAATTTTGGAGGAAAATTAGTTGTAATCATGAATTAAAATATAATCAAACATATAACTCCTCAAAACGTTTATCTCCCATACTCCTTTCTCAGAAAGTTATTGAAGGATATACACCATCGAAATAAAGGAGTAAACAAAGAAAGAAAACATGAGACACAGAAAACCTGTACTCTAGCATAGGAGAGAGACAAAAGGAACCCCCAAGATAAGGAGAAGATTCCAGAATAATCGAGCACCTGGAATAGAAGACAAGCTGTCCACATTGCAACTGTGAGGCCCACAGAACAGAAATGCTGAGAAATTTCTAAAATGGATGGACCAGAAAATAGCAATATGACATTATTTTTTAAGTATTTTTTTAAAAACAAAAAAATGTGAGCTAGGCTCGGTGGCTCAGCCTGTAATCCCGCGCCTTTGGGAGGCTGAGGTGAGTGGATTGCCTGAGCCCGCGGGTTTGAGACCCGCCTGGGCAGCGAGACCTCATCTCTACAATAAATCAGAAAATCAGCCGGGTGTGGTAGCGCATGCCTGTAATTCCGCCTACTTGGAAGGCTGAGGTGGAAGGATCGCCAGAGCCTAGCAGGTTGAGGCTGCGGTGGCCAGGAGCAGCCACTGCACCCCAGTCTGGGCGACAGAGCGAGACTCCAACTCAAAAAAAAAAAAAAAA